GATATAAATAACGGGACTAGGCCGGCGGGCGAGGGTTGTCAGCGAATGTTAGCTAGTCAACAGGTAAATGATAGTTCGTTCCGTGGCAGCCACGAGCCAAACCTTGATCAGAGATCTAGCCATGGCTCGCTGACGTTTATTAACCATTAACTAGTTCGTTCGTTACGGGGTAGTTGGCTGGTTAGAGCCAGCAATGGGCAAAGGGATGCGCGGAGGAAATTTTGCGGGTTGATAGCGGGCGGCGTACGGAGTACGGGGGAAAGATAGGCTAAGAAGGAGCTTGCGGGTTGGTTTGATTATCGTGACATGGTGAAGAAGCAACGGTTAGCCAGCTGCTGAGTTACTGGATAGAGAGCTGTCCCGCTTCATGTCAATCCTTCCTGTCGATGCTGCTGGGTGACTGGCTATCAGCCGGTTGACTGAATCAAGATGCTTGCTTTGACGGCCGATAGGCTGTGGTCGTCAGGTAAGGGGGCTCAGTTTATCAAAAAAGAATACGCCCTTTGACTTGACCAACCCCTTACTCCATACAGTCCGCAAAGAGAGGTCATCTGGCTGCTTCTTTGGGGCAGCAGCTTCAGCTTCAGCTAACCATCGCCAGCCCAATAGCAGCAGTTCAAGGGACATCGGACGGGGCCTTTCCTAACAGCGGCAACCGTGGCGCAAACAGCAGACCGCAGAGCATCCTCAGTGTTGCGCACAGCATATATAACTCGATTTCCTAATGCTTATGGCATCCAAGGATCCAGGGAAACATATTGAACTTTCGCATGGGGCTGGTTCCTGTTCCCGTTCCTGTTCCTGTTCCTGTTTGTCTCTCCTTGTTCCTGATCCGGATCCTTTATCCTTATCCTGATTCCGGTTTACTTCTTTGCTTCTTTCTCCGTCATATAAGCGACGATTGCCCTGACTGTTGAGCCCTAATATGCTATGCATGGTTTCAGGCCACTGATCGTCCGCGTGGTGCTTTTGCCCCAGTTGATGCAATTTTAGCTGCTCTGCTTTTTTAACCAGTTAACTCGTTGGTTGAACAGATGGACCTTGAGGCGAGCTGGCCTGCCCGGTTGATCGCAGACCCTGGAGGTATGTATGTACGTAACTCAACACTGTTATGTCGTTAGTGTTCTTTTCTTTTTTGCATTATAGCGTACGGGATGGTTAAGCCTAGCTTGTTTTTTTTTTTCTTGTTAATATTCTGTCCGGCTTTAAAATGTACTTTGTTACGTGCGTAGTGGGAGGCTGGTTGCGGAGGAAGAAGCTCGAGGAGATACGTATCTATCATCATCCTCTTCCTTCCACCAAGCAACGACCGCTTGATACCTCCAAAGTGTTCGTAGCTGTATCTACCTGCTCGATAGACAGCCTGCTCCTACAAACTCTCCCGACTTGTTGTGACCTGTACTGTGTACTTATCATCCCTGAAGGGCAAGGGGGCTGGAGAGCAGAAGTTTTCCTCTCTTTCCTTTCTTTTCTCATCCCTTGCTCAGGTTCCTGAATTCCGCACAATGTCAGGGCAGCAGACAGGGGGCCTTGTATACAGATTGATGATGTATGGACAGACCAGCAGAGAGAGAGAGCAGCGAGCCAGCGAGGGACCCCGGGGAGGATTTCTCCACCGTCTGCCAGCCAGCCTTAAGCTATGCCCATTCCTTTTTTTTTTTTTTCACCTTTCAATTTGCTTCTTCGTTCTGTATTTTTGCATTTCATCAAGGCCACTTTTTTTCAGTGGGTTAGCGGTGTTTCGTTGCTTTTTCGTCTCTTTTTTTAAGCAGTTGGTTTGCATATGCGGATATCTCCAGACTCCGTGCGAGATGCCTAGTCAGAGTAGTTACGGAGTCGCAGCGGCGGCGGCAGCAGCAGCAGCAAAGCAAGTACGCGCTGCCCACTTTGCATGTGACATGCTAAGAGTATTTAGCTAGCAAGAGCCTGGCCGATGACGACAGAGACGAGCATGGCATGCGTTGAGGGCTTGAAGATATCGCCTCTACCAATCTCTTCTGCGCAGAGGGCCAGGAGAAGCGCTGTCCACGGGACACAGGCGGGCTAATAGCGAGGAGGGAGGACTGCTTCCTCCCTTTCTTTTCTTCTTCCCCCTCGTCGACTAAGGGAGAGGGACGCCCTCCAAGGGGCCTTTTAGTCTTTCTTCTAGAGCCCGGAAAGAACAAGGAGATAAGCGAGGGTCGCACATCTCAAAAAGAAGAGCGACCAAAAGAGGGAGGCGGCCGGGATGGTGGATGAAGGAGAAACACGACTCGGGCATTCGATCTCGAACCACCGATCAGCATATTTTTAATACACGCACAGGATACTTCCTTACTACTAGTTAGATGGACACGATGCGCTGCTGGTCGACTAACTATGCGGGGCCGAGGGGCAGCGGGCTTGTTCAATTAAACGGGTGGTTATATACGCTCGCTGCTCGCTTTGTGGTTTAGTTGTCTCTCAAAGGGGGGGCCCATCAGATGCTCTGTCATTATTGTCGTCGACAAGCTGTTATCATGGCCCGCCAGAGAGTATCTATCCCTTGTCCCATGCGGCCAGAAGACACACTATTGCTCCGAGTTCCATCCATGACTCCCCGAGCGTATACTTACTTCTACTGGCAGTCCATAGTAGAAACTTCGTTATATAGTCGAAACTCAGTAGTGCAGGAAGGTTTCCAGGCGGCAATCATCCCCCTCCCTGACTTTGCCCAACCAACCCCCTCGTTCAAGTTTCTTTTCCTTTCGGGGTTCATGGCTATTAGGCGGGATCTAAAGGCTATGCATGTCGGTGGCGTGGAGAGGATTAGCGGTGCAGGAGGAGTTATGTAAGAGTACTTCAGTAGCGTAGTTACTTTTCTGGAGCTGGAAGCCGAGCTTCGCACGAGGAAACAGAGCGAGAGAAGGAGATGCAGCCAGTGGTCAGTTCAGTTTAGTAGTGTAGTAGGGATAAGAAGTCTGCGGTGTCAGAAGGGGTAGGGGGGGTAGGCCACTGGGCGGGTTTCGGGAAATCCACCCAACGGTCAAGAGCATAGCATCAATTGGGCGTGACCCGGAGATGAGATGCTGTCATGTGTGCATTGGAGATGTGTATATAGATCTCCCTAAGATCAACAGCAGCAACCGTGACTGGATGCCGCCTGGCTAAGCTTATAAGCTAGAGAGAAGGGAGGCCGTCAGGAGGCCATCTTTGTTAACGGCAGGTTAACGTCCGTCCAGTAGCCGGTGATGTCATTCCAAGGCGCAGAGTGAGCGTCGGTTCCTCATGCTTAATATCGTCTTGTAATGGGCAGTTCCTCAGGCATTACCCAAAAAAGGGGGGTTGTTGACAGACAGCCCCAGCCAGGAACCCCCTACACTCACCACACCACGCACCAGAATATCCTGAGAGACGAGGTTAGCGCCCTGTACTGAAGAAGCATGACGAAGGGTCAAGGAAGAGAGAGGGAGTGGTAGTGTACTTCGCCTGAGTGGTACACGGCAGCCAGAGCAGGAGTTTGATACGAACCACCGGAAGCGTACCACAGGCGGTGACGATACTCTGCCCACTCGTATCCTTTCCCTTCCAAGATCAAGTAACAGTAACTTGCTTGCTGTGCATGATAATTAAGCTACCGCAGTACGCAGTAGTTTAGTGCGGAGAAGCCGCGCTCCGTCGTATATCCTCGAGCTGGTTGCAGCGCCTCCTGATTGGGCTGCAATGCAGAATATTCGTCTCCCCAGCTGCTGGTGGTATTCTCTCTTGTGTCCATGGCCGGGGGTGGGAAAGAGGGATATCGCCGCCCACATCCGTACCTGGTATGAACATCTCGGCTGCATGGCCAGGGAACAAGGCTCCAAGCATGTTCACCATACAGAGATGGAGGAGGCATGGGGAAGTCCTCTTTTACTCCGTCGCTAGTGAGTTATACCAGCGTGTATTGAAACATTACTCGCAGGTTTGGCTCACACTACTCTGCGGTGGCTTGCCCTGGGAGAGGCCGCATGGAATAACTTCAAGAAGTTAGTTGGTTAACCCACTCGGTAGATGCAGAGAAGCCATCCCTCGTGTGAGCAGAGTAGAAGAAAGCCCTTCGAGATGATCAGTAATCCTCTTGTAAGCACTAGCTAGGGCCCTTTTCCGGTCTGTAAGGGGCTGATAGTCATGGCTTCAGGCCATCGACAGCAAGGAAGACGGCAAGCTTTCTCTGCAGCCTCTGCCTTGCGTCCCTTTGTCTTTCCTATCATCGTCTTCTCTGCCTCCTGTAAGTATAGTCCCGTTTTCGCTAACTCTCCTCCAGCGTCGTATGAAGGTCGTACTTCCGTACAGGGCCCCATCCCGGTCATCTCGCGTGGTAGAAAGGGAAAAAAACAACAGGGAAGAAGGGGAGAGAAGGCCTCTAAACAACTGCAACGCAGTATGAATACAAGATGCATACTGAGAGAAAACAAAAAAGCATCCCTCCCCCTGTACTGGCCTCGGAAGTGGGCTTCTACCGCCGCGGCAACCTCGAGCCTCTCGTTCGTTTTGCTGCTCACTCCACCCCCCTGGCCGTCGTGCTTCTCCTGAACCGACAAGACGTCGACTTACATACCAAAACTCGAATGTGGAGGGTCATATCAGTCGCATCCCGGCCCTTAACGAATATTAACTATACATAGTATGTCCTCCGTCCCAGCCTTGCTTCCCATCGACCGATTTGGCAAACGGAAGGGGGGCATTGAGTCGATTTGATGCCTCTCATGCCCTTTTTTCCGCGCCCTCCTTCTTCTCTTTTTCGCCTCCCCCAGTAAAAAAAGAGCCACATTGTATACAAGACTTGTCTGATTCCTGGCGACTTTCAAGCCAATCCCGACAATGCGGGAAGTAAAATAGTAGATGGAGTAGGTGTTGGCTTTTGTCTGCACCTTGCTGGCCCTTCTTTTCATTGTTCAACCCGCAGCCCCCCCCCTTTTTTTCCCCCTGAACTTGCAACCAACATTTTGATATCGTCTCCGATTTGCTTCCCACGGAGCATGGGAAGGGAGCTTGGACGGTAATCAAGCTTGGCCCACGGAGAAGAAGAAGAAGAAGAAGAAGAAGAAGCAGAAGAAGAAGCAAAGAGAAGACGAATAGAGAGAAGGTGAAGGGAAGACAGCACAAGAGGGAAGAAGAAACGGTGCATAAAAGGAGATACACTGCATCATATAGCCATCATCCCGCGGTCGTCTTCGAGAACCCTTGCATCTCACCAGCATCTCGCAGTGCGTAACTCGACTTGACCGCGTCCTGATGGTACGATGCCTGCTCCGTTCGCTCTCTCGGCGTACATGCGTGCATGCATACATTACTCAAGTAATCGACTAGTCGGGACACTCTGTAGCTCAAGCGTTCACCTGCTCGCTGCCCGTCCGTCCCCCTTGCTCCGCTCCACCAGCGGCAGGCGGAATATCCGCCGATTGACCATGCACCAAAACCCGGTACCGAAGCCCCTTAGCCTCCCTTATTATTATTATTGTTATTATTATAGACATACATATACATAATCGCAGCGGGTAGATACCTGGTCATCGCTTCCAACTTCTTATATTACACGAGTCAAGAAACGGCCGGTTCTCTCCTCGTTCTGATATAGATTCAGCTACTCAAGGCTAATATCGTACATACACCGCCAGGATCTCTCCCGTCTCGACCTGCTCGAAGTGGACCGGATGCATGTCCATCTTTTTTTTTACTTACAACCCTTTCTCTTCTCTTTTTGCTGTCCTTTGTTCCGGCTGCTCTCATAGAGATCTGGTATGTGCATGCCGACGGGGACAGCTACGATGTATGCTATGCACAGTGACATGCGTCGCGTATATCTGTACACGGGTAAATCCTCTGGACATGATATTGATCTGCTAGGATGACAGACCATCTCGATATTGGTACAGATGGCATATTACATCGCATCATGTACCTAGCCGGCTGATTTACAAGCAAAAGACAGCGGAGGGAGTACTCTGTGCTCGGTACCACCTGCGCCTGCGTCGTCGATACCCATCTCAAGCCTTTTTCTACCACCAGGACAACCTGATATATCGAGATGGCTCCTCTCATCTCTTTTTTTCCCTGCCTTTCTTTCTTTTTCTTCCCTCACCTGGTCTGTTCTTTGTCGGGGATCGACTTCTAGTCCGATTCTGCAGGCTTAAAACCAGAGATCGACGCTGGACGTGAAATGTGCACTGTCTCGATTGGAGCTGGTTCTCGGTTCTTCAGCATCCCATCTCATCCTCCTGACGCTTGACACCATACAGAGCATATTTTGTTCTTCGTCTTCTTTTCAAGCGATCAAACGGCCATGTGAGATGGACGTCAGTGGCGATGTTCACCGCTCTATCAACACCTCCTCTCGCTACCCATTCAGTCCATACGAGCTTTGTTACGGCTGCCAAGGGTAGCTCAAGAGGAACGTAGTAGAAGACGATATACCTGCATGCCGAAAGTTATCTCGCTGAAAAGAAAAGAAAAGAAAACGAGCATAGACAGTTGCCAAAATCGGGTTGTCAAGTCTATCTCTTCTTTTCTTCTTCCGCTTCCTCTCATCCCCTAATTTTCATGGCGTCCTGCGTACTAGCGAGAGAAAGGAAAAAGAGAAGAGACTGAAGCAAAGCCTCCCTGAAGAAAGATGTGAAAAAAAAAGGAATGTTCGATGCCTTTTTTTTTTTTTTTTATTCTGGCTGCTTTCTTTTTTCGCCCTACACATCCGCCGTCTTGATACCTAGCTAGCTCGCTGGTTGTGTGCGTGTTTTGGTCACTCAGAAGATGCCTCTTCCAACCCGCCCAGGAAATCAGTCGCCATCACCATCCTCATTCCCCCCGTCTCACTCCACAGCCATCAAGCTCAGCATGGGCGGGTCACACAAAGAACCCCCAGATTGATGGGCTGCAGATCCATGGTCCTCCTCGACGGGTTGCGTCCCTTCGGTTCGTTTGCCTTGGTTGACAGCGATTGCTGTAAGACAAAGACATGCTTATTACCCTGATTATTATTGCTAATATCATTGTTTTGGCTCTTATACTGCTTTGTCTGTGTCTGGTGGATGGCTGTCTGGCTGACATGTCACACACACGTTGCAATCGAGGAGGGTATATAGCGTCCAGTTAATCTAAAGACGGTTTAAACCCCGATCAAACCTGGAACTGGATAGTGGTTTATGCTGGCTGGAATGCACTATTTGCCTTTTTAGCGGCTGCAATAGCAATCTTTATTTTATTTATTTTGCTCACCGGGCTCTCTCGGGGATTTTTTTATGATGGCCTAATCGGGATAGGTCATACACGATACGCCAAAGAAGGGGGGGCTGGCGGATGCTTTGATAGTAGCGGCTATCTGCAATATTGGCCTTGGTGGTTATACCGATGATCTCAACGGCGAAATCATGTCTGCCCCGTGTCCTGTCTGTGTATCTGTATGATCGTCAAGCTTAGTCTATTCTTCCCTCCTGGAGCTGCCTGCTGCCTTTCCCCGGTAGATGTCATCCGAAGACGTTGTAAAGGGCAAAAAGAGCATAACATAACTTAGCATTATCACAGCCATGATATATCCTCGCACACACGCACACACACCTCCATCCCCAGCTTAAACGCCGCTTTCTTCAGCCGGCGGATGCTTTGCTGTTCTTTTTGCCTCTCCTTTTCCTAAACCTTGGGCTATCGCTCTAACCACTAAACTATCGCGCTCATCTATCTGCGGGATGCTGTCTTGCCTTGACTTTCCTATCTGGCCATGGGTTGAGATTGCCCATTATCTCTTTTCTGCATAATCCGTTTGATACCAAGCCCTCTTTTCTTTTGGTTGGTCCTTGGATGTTTGGCATGTTGAGGTTTCGGAATCTCCAGTTTCAAACTGAGTGAGATCTCTGGGCTCTTACTGACTTCGCCCCCTAAACCCCGTACAATGTAAACACCACACACACTCACTCACACTCTCCCTTGTCTCTCTATTCTGCAGTGTATGTGCAACGGTAGTATTTATTATCATCCCAACCAGGACAATGGAACGGTTCATGATTGGGAAGCACTGATTTTTTTCTCCTTTGCCCCAGTGATTGGGTAGGATACAAGTGTTTCAATATTCATCCTCCCTGCCCCAGGCCATTAACTAGAGCGTCATCGGCAATTCAACGTTGGAACACCTTATCGGGACGGAAGTATAAGGAACCAGATAGCGCCGCAGGGACAGGGAGAGATGATATACATTTTTTACTTGCTTAGACACGTTCGATCGTCTGATAAGTCCCCTGTGCATGGATATGGATAGGGATATGGATACCCGACTGCGGCCTCGGGCTGAAACCCCCTGCCTGGCCTTACCCGAGAGTCTCCGTATCAGATAACCATCTGCTCCAGACCTGACTGGCACAGCAAGCCGGAACGATTTCGTGTCCAGGCCAGAGCTTCGAGCCATCATAGACTATCAAATGTACTCTTCATGCAGGCTTCCGGGTTGCGCGGCAGGGGCAAAGATACACATACATTTATACAAATACGCACACATGCAGCACGCAAGACACAAGACACAAGACACAAGACACCCAAGACAATTTAAAAAAAGGGGGGGGAGGGCGTCGAGAGGAATCCTTATCCTGCATGCGCACATAGTGAGCAGACGAGCAAGGGCCAAGGATTACAGGACCAAACCTCTGTCTTGCATCATTGCCCATGCGAGATGCGAAGCATGCATACACTACATAGCCCTGGCATAGCCTACTACAAATGCAATTATTGGATTATGACGACCATTTCATTTCCATCTGGGGTGGCTTATCGACTCGAGCACGGTTGGAGGATTGGAATGAAGGGGAACAAACGGAACTGTTCTTGAGTTTTTTGGATCTATTGTCTCGAGACCGCTTTATGAATTCTCGTTTGCAAAAATAGTAACTAACTGTCCAAATGTATAATCGGTCTCGACGAGGCGGGTGGTGATGAAGATGAAGAGGAAAAATAGAGTAATGCATTGCGATTGACTTTCGTGAGATGGTTGCCAAATTTCAGCATGAGCAGAAACAGACAAATGGATAACTAACTGTGTTTTGCGTGCTATTGTAAGAGTTTTTGCTAAAAGTCAGTCTTTTCCATGGCCTGGTAATTTTTTTTTGGGCTGCGCAACCTTGCCTCCCCCAACACCACACCCCCTATTTCCTTTCTGCCTAACTAAACAGTTAATATTGATAGCAGGATTCCAATTCATCAATCATTTCCACAAGAGTGCATTGCATCGGTTGCGTCTGCTGCTGTCGTTTTCGCCTCCCTTCTTCTCCCACCTCTCACCTTTAACCTCCCCCCTCTTACATACATTCCTTGTCTTAAAAAAGCATATTTTCTCAAGACCAAGGAAGGCATATAATTCAATTCCACTCCTCCTGAACACGTCATCCCGTATACCCTGTCAGCTATCAGGTTCAAGACCATGTTCTGGAGTCGCAGTTCAGGATAAACTGGATAGCTGTGTGGAACATCCCAGCTCCACGGGCATGGATGACCCAGGAAAAGAGTTATAGGGAACCCAGTTCCTTAAAGTATACATGCATTTATCGTTTGACGATTGTTACTAATGATTAAGGTATGTTAGTAAAAACAAAATGATATGCATGAAAAGATGGGAACTACGGAACGGAACGGGCATGGCCCACTTACTTATGTCTTCGTCCGCGAGTTCGTGGCTCAATCCGACTCGTTGTGGTTGATGTTTGACGGAACGACCGTAAACGATAGCATGCTTGAAGGAATCAACGATAGATTTGTGGATGGAATTGCACTGTTATCAGGTTAATAACGAAAATAACCCGGGATAAAAAGGGAGAAGGAGGAGGAAGACGGGACGTACGAAATCTTCGACAGTACAAGCCGTACTTCTCAAGACCACTGGCTCGTTATAATCTGGATTCTTGCCCTTAGGCTTGGTATAGACTCTTCGCAGGTTGAGCTTCTCCCACATCAGCTCGAGGAGTTCGTCGATATTCCATCCTCTCTCCGAGCTGATGGGACAAGCGTTGGGGATACGGTATAGTAGATCCAGCTCCTCGATTGAAATGGCATCGATCTTATTCAAGGCGTAAATCACAGGTATATAAGAACGGCTTCGGGCTTCAAGAACATCAATCAAGTCGTCAATCGTGGCGTCGCAGCGGATTGCTATATCTGCCGAAGAGATTTTGTATTCGTTCATAACCGCTTTGATCTCCTATACATTTGATGAGATACTGTCTTTGATGAATTGCCGGGGAGAAATGCCGGGCAACAAAAAATGACTAGAGAATTCAACATACGCTGTGATCGATATGGGTCAGGGGTACGGTGTTTGTGATGGCAATGCCGCCCTTATCTTTCTTCTTGAAGATAATGTTCGGAGGCTCCTTGTTGATCCTTATGCCGAATCCTTCTAATTCGTTCTCGATGATCTTCTTGTCCGTCAAGGGCTTGTTCACGTCTAGAACGATGAAGATAAGATGACACGTTTTGGCAACGGCAATGACCTGTCTTCCTCGACCTTTGCCGTCCTTGGCACCTTGGATGATTCCAGGAAGGTCAAGCATCTGGATCTTCGCACCGTTATATAGGACTTGGCCGGGGACGGTAGTAAGGGTTGTGAATTCGTATGCGGCAGCTGTGTGATGTACGTATCAGCACAGGGGGGGTGTCAATTGATAAAGGGGTATAATTCTTAGATCGGCCCAGACATACCCTCGGAATGTTGTCCGGTTAGCTTGCTCATGAGCGTACTCTTACCCACGGATGGGAATCCAATAAAGCCACTGAACACGTTAGCTAACCACGTCCAATCCAACCGGTTCAAGTACCTGAAGCGTGGGGGAAAAAACATACACACTGGCAACACCGGTACGCGCAACATCGAAACCAGCTGTGAACAATCATATCAGCCCTATTGCCCTAATGCGTATCCATTTTTTATACCCGTGTAGGTGTGTCAAAGCATACCTCCACCTCCACCACCTCCGCCGCTCGGGGTGAGCAGTTCACGCTTTAGCTTCGCAAGCTTAGCTTTCAATTGACCTATATTCCACTGTTAGATCCACGACACACCCTGGTAGAAGGCTGTTCCAGATCATACCCAAATGAAACGAGGTGGCTTTATTCTTTTGAGTTTTGGCCATCTATATAATGATAAGGCATTGTTAAAACACGCGCGAAACGTTGCGGGTAGGTAAAAATAAACGGCTTCGGAAGGGTACCGACTTCGGCCTCAATCTCCCTAATCTATAACGGCGGAAACAAGACGACATGGTTAGCTATATCTCGTTCATGGGTGTGTTATGGGATTAATTGATAGCGAACCTTGTCCACTGTGGTCGACATGATTGCGGTAGTCTGCCGGATACGGGGAAACGCTGCAAAAAAAGGGAAGATAGAGAAATAAATTAATGCAAAATAGCTAACGCTACGCTGGCAGGACGGAAGATAGGATCGCGCGAGAGCTGTACTTTTGCGCAGTTATATGTTCAACAAATTGGCAGCGGGGGAGTTTAACAATCTATCCATCATTGCTATGAATTCAAATTCACTGAGAAAAAAAAAAAAAATAGGCGGCTTATCCACGGCTTATCTAATCAAAACCTTGCCCAGCCCGATCTTATCTCGGAGTTTAAGTTTATCCGTCTACGGCTTATATCACGTGACTTGTTCATGTGACCCGGTCTGAGCCCTCCGTGCGCTTTTCGGCGCCCGGGAATATCCGTAGAGGGCGCGCAGCAACGGGATTGGTCGGAGGGACCCGAAACCGCCAAAGTGGCGTGGAGTCAAAAGGGAAAAAGGATGAAACTACGACTGCGGCCACTAACAAGTCTGTTCCCCCAAGGTGCCAAAGGGATAAGAGAAGAAACCCCCGTGAAATCAGGACAGGTTTCCCATCCACCCCCCCCCCCCTAAGAGACCATCCAAACACCCTTCCTAAAGAGACAGCTGTATATATCTTGCCATCATTACTCTTCTATTCTTCCAGTCGGCAGCCGTCTACCCTTTGCCGAGAGCCAGCACACACTCACACCAACAATCCAGCCAAGTCTGCATCACCGAGGGTGAAGAAAACTGTTGAGATCCATCGAGTCATCATGCCATTCATCGAAAACCAGACCACAACGGCAGAACCCATCGTCCCAGTGGACGTCAAGGGGAAAGATGCCTTCCATAAGCTAGTAGACGACCTCAGTGCCGTCCTTGGACCGTCGTCGGGCCTTGACTCCGACGACGTAGACCCCAAGGACATCCAGAAGTTGATGGAGGGATACGTATCGAACCACGAGGAGTGGCAGCGATATGCGTTGGCAGATGAGTCCCGAGCCTATACCAGAAACCTCGTAGATGAGGGCAACGGCAAGAGTAACTTGGTAAGTCAAGAAGTGGTCCAGCCAGCGTCGTTGGAACCCAAGAGTCCTAGGAGTCTGTGGTGTGAAGAGAACAGGAAGACCATCTAGCTAACATGGCAAAATTGAATGCAGCTCATCCTCGTCTGGAACCCGGGCAAGTCCAGTCCAATCCACGATCATGCTAACGCTCATTGTGTAATGAAGGTAGAGTATTGACCCTTTCTTTTTCTTTCCTTTCCCTTTGGGAGAGCAAAGCCGAAAGAGCAAAGCCAAACAAGAAAAGTGATGGAGAAGAGAAAGGAGAGAGAGAGAGAGCAAAAGAGCCCACCGTAGCTGATCGTTATCTCTGTCCCTGGTGTAGATCCTGCATGGTTCGTTAAAAGAGCACAGATACGACTGGCCAGAGCAGGACAAAATCAACAACGGCGAAGCCTGCCCCCTGACAGTCACCAAGGAGACCATCCTTCGGGAGAACGAAGTGGCATACATGTCCGATAAGGTAAGTTGACCCTCTCTCTGTGTGTGTATGCGTATCCGACAGCGGATGCTGGTTTGGTTTGCAAGGCTGACATTGAATATCCAGCTTGGCCTGCATAAGATCTCAAACCCGGATCCAAATGACTTTGCCATCTCTCTGCACTGTAAGTAGCATGAGTATTATGGTCCAAACGAGGCCTAACCTTTTTTTTTTTTTTTTTTTTTTTTTTTTTTTTTTTGTTAGTGCTTTCCGTCTTGCTGACATCCGGCACCCAGTGTATACTCCTCCAAACGCAGCCCACTTTGGCTGTTCTCTGTTTGATGAGAAGACAGGCAAGTCTCATCACATCAAGCAGTGTACCTTCTTCTCCAACCGGGGCTTGAAGCTGTAGAGAAGGCTTTGAAGCACGATCAGTAGACGGAAGATGAGGATGACCTCCCACTCCCTGACTGAGTCCTGAGTATCAGCGTGGTTGAAGAGCCGAAGCTATACCCTCAACCTCGCCTGGCAGCCCGTCCCATCATCCCAGGGCTGCTGTCTGTTGCCTGCATTTCATGTCATGACCCAACTCTCTCCCCCAGCGTAATGATTGTGCTTTTTCTTGTGCATTTTTGCTGTACCTTTTCCCATATTTGGGTGATATCCCTCCCTGGTGTTGTTCAGCCTGCTGTCCCTTTTCCACAGAGCAAGACTGGTGATAGAAAGAAAGAAAGAAAGAAAGAAGAGAAGGTGAAGATGGAGACGGAGGAAGTCTTTTTTTTTCTGTGCGAGCCATGTTCTCTGGCCGTCGGTCTTTTCTTATATGTGACTACCCCCAAGCCTCTGCCTGCCCTCCTGCTCCTCCGCAAGCCTCCCTTAGTGAGTGCGAGTGGCGGACCCGCGCGAGCACGCCATCCCAGCTGCTCCTGATAGGCCTGTTTCAACAACACTAGACCTGCTTAGGCAATCCAGTGCCGTTTTTAGCGAAGCGCCTCCCCTGGTTTCCCTTGCCGCTTTTCCTTCTGCTGACTCATCATGTACATACCTCGCCCTCTCTCTCTCTGCCTCTGCCTCTGTATACTCGTTTCCTCTCTTCCTATTCCTATTACTACTACTATTACTATCTAGCTAGTTATATGCATATATATATCTCCTCTCAAGCTTCTCTGCTTCTCTACTTCTCTACCTTTAGTGTCTGCGTGTATTGAACTTGAAAGTCGACCTGTTTTGTCAGCTGCGACTTTGTAAGCATGACTTTTTTGTCCGAAGGATTCGGCGTCTAACCTCCCGGCCGATAAACAAGTAACAAGCTACTCACCACTTACTACCTCGAAGGACAGCAAGACCGCAAGACACCAAGAGCAGGCCTCGCTGATAGCCCGGTGCAGATATACCCCGATGAAACAGCATCCTCGTAGCCATGGAGACAAGTGTTTCTCGTTCCCGCTACTTTAAGAAGCATAACATATACCCAAGAGACACGCACTCCTGCTGCTTACCTCCCCCATTCAAGGGCGTGGGATACATGTCTAAGTAGCTCGGTGATAAGCCCGGATCCAGCTGGTTATGGGATTACCGTTCTCTCTTTCACTGTGTTGAAAGCAGATCTCCTGGAGTTTTCGGCAGATCCCGATCATTTTTCGCTGTCAGTCCAGATGACTTCCCACTCCCGATCAACCAGTGATTATAAAGCTCCTCAAGCTTGAAGAGCTCGGGCTTGACAGGGCATCTGATCTCCCTTGTCCTGGACATTAGCACTCTGTGCTCCAGAAGAACTCCACCGTTAGATTGCCGGTCCATTGCTGCCGCTTTATCGACCGGGTATTGATATTTGCCAGGGGGGTTGCTCTCTGAGGACCCATCTGGTGCTGGCCCTTCACAGGCAAGGGTTTGTTATCCAGTTGTCCAGAGGACCGGCTCAGTGTCCGTGTCTTGTCGATCAGATATTCACGCTAGATCGCATGCGTACAGGTCTCCAGCCGAGTCAAGCTTATTGTTTGGATCGGAATCTAGGCCTAACAAGTCTATAAATTAGCTAGGTAGTACAAATGTTCCAAACTTCAGTGACACACGTATATAGGCTTCTATATCCTTTCCCAGAGTAGAGTTTTCTCTTGTTTCTCTAGTAGATGCTTGGAGTTGGTGTAGTATCGTGTCTAGATCGATACTCAGGGATGCTATCGACTACTTTTAAAAGGCAGCAATATCAGACACTCCCGTGTCTGCGCCCTTCGCTACCGAGGTGCAAGGAGCGTCAGCTTTCCACCGCTATGGAACCAGGCCGTTCCTGTATGTAAAATCTGACAGCTTTGCATCTTGCATATTTCTCACTAGAGTCTAGCTATGGAGTACTTGAGAATAGTAGATGGACGAGATGTCCCTGTAGGCTGCTGGATATCAAATGGCCGTTAAGCATCAGGGTACATAACTAAGCGCATGAAACGAAGCTGCACAGGAATGACTGCTAGCAAACACTTGTTCTAGCAGCATCATCGTCCATCGAAGAGACCAACGTCGAGATCGTAGTATTATAGATGTCCAATACCTATCAAAAAATAATGTCATTCCGCCGTTTATGCTTTTTCTTGCCTTCGGGCTCGACGTCGTCATCCCCCTGGGCCTCCGTCCGCTTGGCTTGCAGCGTTTCTTTTTCTCTCCGCCCGAAGCCAAAACTTCTCCTTTTGCGGTTCTGATAGATAAATATCCAAACAGAAAAAAAATTACTCGCCTCCCCCCCCGACAAAGGAATTCCAGCAATGAGCTCTTCTGGTCGCGCATCCGGGTTCCACGAGGCATGAAAGGACGACGGTTCACCCTTCTCGCGGGCCTGGCGTCCCTGATTGTTCTGCTCTTCATCTTCTATGCGCCAAATTCGGACGAGAGGCCTATCATACCAGCTCCAAACCCCGGCAATTCTCCAGCAGCACCGCAACAGCCGCCGCCAGTCGAGTCCTTTGGCGACGAGAATATTAGCTACAATAACCCCGCCGGCTCCACGGGCGATGATCTCGCCCAGCATCCGATCGAGAGGCTGATCCAGACCTCCAGAGCGCAGTTCAAGACCACCCATTCACGACAGTCAAAGACCCTGCAGCAGGCTGCTACCGAGTACCGGCGTCGATATGGCCTTCATCCGCCGCCGCACTTTGACGTCTGGTTCAAATTCGCCCAGAGCAGAGGCGTTCAGATGATTGATGAATATGATACGATATACCACACCCTGCTTCCCTTTTGGGGAGTCAAGCCAAAGACCATCCGGGAACGAGCAAGGGAAGCTATAGGCTTTGAGAATGCCCTGATCGGACTGATGATAAGAGATGGGAACGTTACACTGGTTGACGGCGGCGGAGAAGGCGAGCAGTGGAAGAGGGATGCGATCAAGGGGATGATGGCGACTTTCGTCAAATACCTACCTGACATGGACCTGGCCTTCAACATACACGATGAACCGAGGGTCGTCATGGCGCATTCTGACCTCTCACGACTAGTCGCTGAAGGGAAGCGGATGACTGCCTCGAACGGACAGCAGCAGGGGCTCCATAATCAGTGGTCTGCACGGCCGGAAGGTTTGGAACAAGGGCGATAGAATCGATGAAGTCAGACGGACGAGATTCAACAGGTTTGCTCACCAGCCGACGTGGACGAACTCACGGATGTCCTGCCCTCCAGATAGCCCTGCTAGACAACTGGAGGATGAACCCGTCGATAACACGGCACAGTACTCGACATCTCCCCTCGGGTTCATCTCCAATACCACCGCCTTCTCAGACGTTTGTCTGACCCCTTCTCTACGCCAGACTTTTGGCTTCTTCGAACGACCAAACGCCCTTGATATAGTTCATGACCTCTTTCCTATCTTTTCACAAAGCAAAGTTTCCTCGTTTCAGGATATCCTCTACCCAAGCCCCTGGTACTGGAACGGGAACGTCGCCTACGACGCAAATCAAGATATGGACTGGTCCACCAAGGAAGACCAGATGTACTGGCGTGGCTCGACCACAGGCGGCTTCTCACGAGCAGGTGGATGGCGCAGACAGCACCGTCAGCTCTTTGTACGCAATATCAACAGCCTCACCCCCACGAATATCCTCGAGAAGAGCCTCGAGACTGGCCGATGGGCCGTGAAGCAGATTCAGCGAAACGCCCTGAGGTCTCTATTCAATGTGAGCTTTAGCCACGTCGGCCAATGCGATCCAGAGGACTGCGAGGCGCAGAAGGAGTACTTCACCATCGTCAAGCCGGCGAAACAGCAAGATGCATGGAAGTTCAAGTACCTTGTCGATATTGACGGAAATGCCTTTAGTGGGCGGTACTACGCCTTCCTACTAAGCAAGAGCTTGGTATACAAGCTTGCTCTCTTCCGCGAATGGCATGACGAATGGCTTCGGCCATGGGTCCATTTCATCCCCCTCAGCTTCAGGGGAACCGAACACTACGAATCTGTCCGCTACTTTGCAAAGGAAGAACCAGGCAAGGATGAAGCAATAGCCATTGCACAGGACAGTCAGAAATGGGCACGTAAAGTTTTACGCAATGAGGATCTTGAGGTGTGGTTTTTCAGGCTTTTATTAGAGTGAGCTCCCCCCCTGCTACATCCATCCCTAGTATAACTACAACGTTACCACGGCTAACACACATCATAGGTACGGCAGAGTCATCGATGATAATCGTGAACGATTGGGCTTTTCAACAGGGTAGAAAAAAAAATTATAATATACGCTATGGGATGGATTTGTTATCTTATTATTTATAATGGTCTTTTTTTTTTGTCTCGTCGTCTGGTTTCCCTTCCCCCTTTTCTTTCTGTGACCACTAGAAGGCAACTTTATATATGTATTCCCGCGCTTTTCGCTCTTGCTTCGTTTTCTTTTCTTCGTTATTTATTTTATCTGCTCCTTTGGACCAAACAACAGCGTTGTATCATTAGCTTTTGGTGACTATACCCGGTTTACTATTTGACTAGACTTGATGACGTTTTGCTTGCATCTCTGCTGCCAACCGTTCCAGCCTACACGTACTCGATGAAGCCATCTGAGTAACCAACCTCTTCTACATTAGATGAATGGCTTTCATCATGCATTCCAAGTAGTTCTGTCTCCTCATCAACTTCGTCGGTATTTTCAACACCCGTACACCAATAAAGAGGACTTCCTTTGGTGGAAAATGAAATCTCCGAGACGCAACGGGTATGACATCATCTCTCGCTCTCTTCCCTCTCAAACTGCTCGTCTGCTCTCCTCGTCTTCTCTCCCATCCTTGTTCTGCCTGCAGCAACAACGTAATCCAGCCTTGCTGATCTCTATGAAAGAGCCCTGCTACAGGGATGAATATCACAGTCACGACGACCTGCTCGCCGCCGTGCTATTGGTCTTCTAGCCTACCCCTTGCCACATCTCCGCAAGCTGCTTCGAAACAAATGGACCTGATAAGGCCATGCGGAACTTCCCCATAGCCGAAGCTCCTCCTGACATAACCATTTACATAACATCCTTTGTTATCTGAGAGCCGCTTGAAGGACTACTTTATAGGAGACGCATTTCCCGCCCGCTACAACCACGTAGCTGTTTATTTTTTTATTATTATTATATTTTTATTCCCCCGCCGTCCTGGTTACAAGACGATTACTTTTGATATTTTGATAGATGCCAGAGACAAATGGTGCCAGCATGGACCATCCAGTCTTGAAGATGGCGGTGGCCATCTTTTCTTTCGTATATGGTATATTCACGTTGGTGCTATACGGACTCACTGCAATCCTCAGTGGTGTGCCGTTTCGACAAACCACTGAAAAGGAACGGTTGGAGTTTCAACTCGGTTCGTATGAGTGAACGTCCCTTTTTCCCGGAAGCCTCCATGTTATCGCACAATACACAGAGTGAGAAAAAAAAAATGGGGGGATGATTGATCCTTCAGGTGTGGCTATTTTCTTTGATAGCTAACACTGACTTTCTCTGGACACAGCGTCAGATAGATTCTGGAATCTCTCAAAGAACTGGAAGAATTTCTCACACCGGTTTATGACTTTGCGGAATGGGTTCAAAGTCCACTATCTTGCAAACGTCTCGCCTGATGAAACTGTCGCCTCAAACACTGGGAACCAGCCATTGGTTATATTCCTGCATGGATTTCCGGATAGCTGGGCCATATGGCGGCACATCCTCTCGTCGAGCTCAATTGGAGACAAGAGTGTGATGCTTGCACCGGACCTACCTGGGTACGGGGGCACGGATTCGTTGGACGTATATGGCCCTACAGAAATCCTGGAGACGTTGACAGAGTTCATAGTCACCGTGAGAGACCAATACAATGTCTATGATGGTGATGGCCGAACCAAGAGGAGAGTTATTATAGTAGCTCATGATTGGGGAGCGATACTCGCTTTTCGCCTAGCTGCAGAAGCCCCCCAGCTAGCAGATAGGTTCATTATCTCCAATGGAGTCCTGGTATGCTCAGGTATTTTTTCCTTTTTTTTTTTTTTTTTTTTTTTTTTTTTTTTTTTTCCTGCTTGCTAATATGATGCATTGTCCCTGGCAAAAGCCCGGCTTGATGCAAGACAATATCTACCTATCGATCGAGTCAGCGAACAAGATGTTTAAGACTTTCCTCAGGGAACCATGGCGGTCGCGGCATGTGTTGTGCAAGTCTATCAAGGCTCTAGCCCCAGTACTCCGCCAACTGAAGAAGTCCCAGTATATATTCGTCTTCCACCTACCCGTACCGTTAGTTCGCTATGTTGGTCACGGAGGCAATTATTCGTTTTTAAGGGCGATCCACGAGCTAGCTGCAGGGAAAACCGCTGAATTTACAGTCCGAGATGCACAAGAAGCCATGGCCAGCACTCTTGGGCCTAGCATTGAAGAGCTCAAGACCAAGACGGCGGAGGGAGAGACATACTCTGAATCTGTTCGCATTCGCGCTGAGCAAGGGAACTTCAAGGACACAACGTCATACTACCGGCATGGAGCAGTGTCAGGCCCTTGGCATAAGTCTCTGGAAACCATCTCTGCTTTACATAGCATCTGCCCTGACGAACGCCGGAGAACAAGCTGCGGAACAGGCGTGTTCGACCCTGCCCCTGGGGCTCTAAAAGCAAACGCCACAATGCTATGGGGCATGAAAGACCCTGCAATCGATAATCATTTGGCCCTGGATGGAATAGCCGATCGACTTATCCAGGGAAGTCAGGTAATCGTGCTGCCTCGATCCGGCCATTTCACGCCCATGGAAGTGGAGGGCCGAGGAGCCCTTGAAGAAACAGTTCTATGGGCCGTCAATGGTGAGACAGGCGATGTTGGCCAAGCTGTCTTGTCTGTGTACCCTGAAGCCAGAGTGGTCGCCCGCCAGTAACTCAATCACTAGTTAAACAGTTTCCTCCTTAGCTGGGAAGAACAACTGCTGCGAAACTCCATGAATCGTTGCATCATCTTCTTTCTCCTTTCGTGGGCTATGATCGCCTGTTCTTTCAATTAGCCTGCAATATGCAGTTAAATATTCAAAAAAAAAAAAAATATATGAGCGAGACAGAAGGAAGCATGGCCGGTGTTGTCGTTGGAGAGATTGCGATCTGAGCGTTCTGATTCCGATTCCTGTACTTCCTTGCTTTTTCTCCAGGCGTTTGCATAATACCTGTACTCCATTTTGATAGTATATAGTTCTCATCGGAATGCATGTAACTATACATACATGATCGTGACTGCTTCCCAGGCACAGAGAACAGCTCCCCAGGTTAAACCCCCAAGGCCAAGCTTGGCTTCGAAGTGGATATAACTAGCCAGGCTGTACGGAGTAGCTAATATTAACTAGCTAGCGCCCGCAAGAGATGGTAAAATCTCCATCAAAGCTAACCACACTGATGCATATATCTTAACTGCATCAAGCTGTGGCAAGGCAATAAACGGGCTAACTGCTGGCACTCTGTAACACAGGCATAGGCTCGTTTCCGCCGGCTGGTGCTACACAGCAAGCTCCACGAGAAGTACTAAGCCAGCCAGCTACCAGCCAGCAGCCAGAAAGCAACAGTTCTCGAGCAGTGAGCGGTACAGCCCTTCTGCATACCCCCTCGCTTGTTATCATATGCAATATCGTGCAGGCCGGGAGGGATCGCTTGTTGGCTGGCAAGGATGCGGTTGAACGAGATTAAAAGGCCGCAAAGCCGGGAAGGGTTGCGAGGGCACTGGTCCTTGGTTTCTTGGAGCTCCAGCCGTCCTCCACCTCACGGGCTCTTCTTCTTCCTCTCTTCGTCTTCTCTTCTGACCACCGGCCTGCAGCATCCTGAGTGAGCTTATGGAGGAGGCCTGATTCCCTTCTGCTATCAAGGGATGCAAGTCGGGTGACGTTGGAAGAAGCTCTCCCAAGCCGGTGATGCGCGGCAGAATAGTTAACCAAGTGATCACTTGAACGGCCAGCTTCAACCTCCAACTAACTTAACTACTTTACCAACTATCCCCTCTCTCACACTCTCACGCAAACACGTACACACGCTCCCTCTCGGTCTACCTCGCCGGCCTCATTTCCCTCGGCTTTGTGTTATCACGCTCATTAATGGTTGCCGTCTCCAGTAACTAAATATCAGACGAAAGGAGGAGCCTGCCTTTGGAAGAAGCTCGTCGTGGGTTGCGCAACGATGTCTGGCCATGGAGCTGTTTACTGCACGGTTTGATCCCGCCTGACGACCGAGATAAACTCCTACCTTCTGAGTGCTGACTTGCTGATGGTGATTTATAGATCCTTCTGAGCGACAACTATCTTCCTGGTCAGTGATAAGATAGCAGGGTTGGCCCTACTTCATGATAGTTTGTTTGTTGATGATTTCTACTAGGTGCTATGGTCCTAGCCCATTCCCTGCGGGATAACGGAACGAGGGGAAAGCTGGCCATACTAGTAACGCCGGATACTCTACAGCCGGGGGTAATTGACGAGTTGAAGGTCGGTCGTTTACTAGAACAAGAAAAATATAAACAAGTTCATATTGCTGACAAGCAGCACCATATATAGACCGTGTACGACGATGTGATACCAATTCCCCGGATAGAAAATGCATACCCTGGGAACCTTTACCTCATGGATCGCCCTGATCTAATTTCAACATTCTCGAAAATAGCTCTTTGGAAGCAGACCCAGTACGACCAGATCGTCTATATTGACGCAGATGTGATAGCCCTCCGAGCGCCTGATGAGCTTCTTACACTTGAGGTCAAGACAATAGCTGCTGTGCCAGATATTGGATGGCCTGATTGCTTCAACACTGGTGTTATGGTATTACGGCCCAATCTCCAGGACTACTATTCCCTCCTTGCCTTTGCTCAACGCGGTATAAGTTTCGATGGTGCAGATCAGGGTCTCTTGAACATGCATTTCAAGAATTGGGATAGACTCAGCTTCACATACAACTGTACACCTAGCGGACACTATCAATACGTACCCGCATATCGGTATTTCGAAAGCACTATCTCACTAGTCCATTTTATCGGCCCTATAAAGCCGTGGGGGACTGGGAGAAGCACATCGTCACACGATTCACCATATAGCCAGCTATTGGCGAAGTGGTGGTCTGTGTATGACCGTCATTACAGGAGAGGCCCTATCTACGTCACTCCGCACCGCGATCACCAGACTCAAACCGCCTCAAAAGAAATTAGCCATAGCATAAGATATGTGCAAACTTCAATACCTGAAAAGAAGGGTTTGGAAACGACGATACATCCACCCTCAGAGCCCGAAGAGAAATCATATTCGGATCACAAGTTTCCAGCTGCCCTTGGAACGGATACTTCTGCGTTGAGCAAAGAGAAACATGTAGAAACCGAGGTACACACACAGGCCACGGAAACAAGTCAGCATGAGCCTGTCGGAGGGACTTACGAAGCGGTGGCACCTAGCAAGGAGGGCCCGGATTCGCGTATCATGCCTCAAGAGGAACCCTCTACTAGACCTGGTGTTGTTAGCATTGAACCCGTGCCCGCTGACACCCCAGGCCTAGAAGAAGACTCTCAGCCAAGCTATCATGCGCCTCCCAAGCCGATGATTAGCGCTGTGCCTCACTATGTTCGTGGAGAAGAACATATCTCGGTCCCCATTTATCATGGAGAGCCACCAAATATACCAACTTATATACCCACTGTAGATGTTAACACCCAACAACCTCACCTACCTCATTCGCCGGTAGACCGAGGAACAATCGAGTCACAAGAATCCGGGATACCATTACTAACAAAGGAAACAGGAGAAGATAAATCTGCCGATGAAAGCGCAACGAAAGATGAGTCTGTGGCCCTGCAAACTGCGAAAATACAACCCCCTGAACGCACTTCCTCTCCACCTTTAGCAGTCTGGGATGCACCACGGTAAGAATTCACCCCTTGCAACCTGTCTGCAGGTTCTAATATGTGTAGTGCACCGCCACCGGTGGATTCAAAGCCAGAAGCAGCTTCATTTCCCGTACAAATCTACACAATGTCAAAGGATACGGAACTTTTCCAGCCTCCCAAATCATACCCTGAGGCACCAAAAGACATGTACTATCAAGTTCCAACAACAGCCCCTGCAGTTCGAAGGCAAACATCTGCCTTCCCGTGGGAACGGAGTGCTCCGGCCCCAACACGGGTTTTTATAGGGGAAGATGCCGAACCCAGCCAAGCTCCTGAGGTTTTAATCTCTTCCGCTCGGCAAGGCATTTCCTCAAGTTCCTCTGGCGGGTTTGAATCGTATTCCCGAAACAACGCCTGGGACGACATGCCAGAAATCGAAAAGTACATGCGCTCGCTTCAAAAGCCACGCCGTGCGGGCGTATCAGTCATTACAGGATCTACACATGCGAGAAAATCATCGACTGGATTGAAATCTCCAGCCAGGAAATCGAACCTGCGTCAAACGCATTATCCACCAGAACATGACGTGCCGAGCCCGGCCGTTACACCAGCTCTAGTCATGAGAAAGCCAAGCACCTCTTCGGCAGCGGACGATCACTGGGAAAATGAAGAACTCCCTGCTGCTGAAGGTGTCCCTAACCAGGCGGAATGGGTGGGTCTCACGGTTAATGCATTTATATCCCTCCTTCAGGCCAGCTACTTATACTGGAAATTTACAGAACCCCATACAACGACTAAAGGAACTTCAGCGACGTCAGTCGCAATTCCTTGAAAGACACCTTGACCTTAAACCACAGGAGGCTGGTGGCAATGGTGCCGTCAGATGCCAGCGGAATATGAAATGAGATTGCCATTGTGAGGCGGTTGCTCTGATCCGTCCCAGCACCACAGCGTGGAAGGATATGCCTTCCAGGACTCGGCTCTTGATGTGTTAGTCCTTTGGATACTGAGTGGCTTACCTATACTACTGTTGAGTTTCCTTGTTATAGGATAAGCCAGCTGCTTGTATGTAGATAGTGATGTATCTTATTTTTAATACAGTTATTTAATCCCTCTGCTGAGAAAAACTGAAGATCAATAAATACGGGAGATTCTATTCGTACATCAACACTTGAAGGAATTCCCGCAACTACCCAAAAGAACAACCCACTATGGTTCAAGTATATGATATTACGAGTATTCTAACTTGCATCTGTACGGTATGAATGGATACCTCTAGTTTTGAAGTTGTTTAAGGCGATGATATCTCACATTAAGACAAGGGCAAGAAACAGGATAAACTAGTGTTATATTTATTTTTCTTTTCATGTTAACGAGCAGTGGATGCGTATGGTACTTCATGCTCTAATATGCCCATGAGTGCCATCAATTCCCAGATTCAACCCAAACCAGAGACACGATCTCAACTCAATGATGAAATATATCTCAATTACCAGGGGCGAAGTCAAGAAGAATTGACATGAATAACACAGAGCAACAAGAAGGAAAAGATCAAATAGGGGCTTCAGGGGTGGTGTGTGGGAGGGTGTGGCATATTTCTCGTTTTTCTTTTCTTTGCATTTTTGTTTCTATGTCAGGATAGGGCTCAAGGGGATGTTTGCATTACTTCACCATAACTTCCAGCAGCAGTGGTTGCAAAATACCGCACGTCAACGTCATCATCTTGCTGTAACTTCTCAAGATTTGGAAGGATCTGCTGCTGGATGATAGTTTGGCCACGGGGGGATGGAGTGGCAGCCTGTCCGGACTTATCGGCCTCGCTGAGAGTCCCTTCCTCTGGAAGTTTTCTAAGGGTGTCTATTATGACGGAGTATGACTTTGCAACATTGAATCTAATGTTGGGAATATCGTCCGTCACGAGCCTATCCAAAATTGGAAGGATGGAAGTCTCAATCATTTTCAGATTGATGACAGGGGCAAGAGTCTAGATTATTGTTGAGGTTAGATATAATTACAGGGAAGGGTGTAAGGTGAGTGGACACTTACGGTGATGGCGAAGCAGGTTGTCATTCTGTAGAGGTAGTTAGGGTGTTGACCCATAGCAGTGACCTTTGGAATTATGGAGCCATTGGCCCAATCAACGCCAAATACTTCTGTCAATTTCTTGAGATTTTGGGTAGCTGCTTCTCGGATTGAGAATACTGCATCTCCTAACCAGCCAAGACATAGGCTGTTGAGCTGTTCGTCGAAGAACTTGACTCCTAACTGGCTAGCAAGCAGGGGAATATACTCAATAATTGCGAGACGGACACGCCATTGCTTGTCCTCTGCAAGCTGTACAATCGCAGGGAGTAGTGACTGAGACAGGAGATCAATTCCAATAACTATTGTCGTAAGTCAGGTAACTTATATGATAAACTTTATGCTTGACGGAGGACGTACCCTTATTCACCAGCTCCAGTTTGGAGATAATGTGCAGTCTAACATCAGGGAATTCGTCTTTCAACATCTGCAAGAACATGGGAAGGAGATGTGAAATGGTCCTGGTAGGTAGTCATTAGATGGGAACTCAATAGAATCAAAGATGGGGTAGGTTTACTCTTCCTTCCCTAGAATAGGGGCTAGACCGCTGATCTGCATGCCCAAAGCGGCTCTTACATGCTGGGACGGGTCTGATACGAGATCTTCGATGCTTGTCATTATCTCATTTAATAGTGTTTCACGGTCAAGGAGCCGACAGAAACCTGGAGCCGTGTTAGTCTTTAGATGGGTAATTAATAGAAGTGGCGCAAGGCTAACCTGGAATCTGCCCGGCAATAGCGGTGCGGACCTCTGCTTCGGTATCCTTGAGGAGCTTTACGAATGCTGGGACCAGGTCACGGTTGACAACTTCCTCATCGACAGCTTTTGCGATCTATAAGGCGTCAGTAATATCTGGGACACGGTGTTCTGTAGAAGGATTGCATGTATGGGAGCTAACTACCTTTTCGAATTTGTCTGCAACCATGTACCTTACTCTCCAGCTCTTATCTTCAAACAGATTTCGGAGAGCTGTAAGAAGAACGCCGTGGCTAGATTGCTGTTCCTTGGGGATTTCCTCTGCTATGGAGATCAAAATTTCAACAGTTAAGAGTCGGACACTATCCTGGTCATCGTTTGCCAAGTTCTGGAATAAAGGAACCATCTCCACTATGATAACCTGCGAATCCATCTCTTTCACGAATTTCGCTAGGTTGTTGGCAGCCTGCCGTCTAACCATAGGGGTATCATCATGGACTAATTGCCCAAATTGTTGTCGTAGCCCCTGCTGTAAAGCTGGAGAGGCAGTTCTGTAGGGAGTACAGTAGAGGCCGGCCGCAGATATCTTGGAGGTGAACCAGTCTGCCTTTGAGAGACGGACTGTCAAGGGTATAAAATTGTCTTCGATCTGCCGGGGGGAGAGCTGCTCGCAGATCTTGTTGAGGGACTCTACGGCCTAGCAAGAAATAAAGTATTGCCATGTTAAACGCAGTGTTCCATATAAAGATTAACAGACATGAAAGCTAGTGTAATCTTACCTTTTCTCGCACCAATGGCTCCTCTATGGCTGCCAAATGCTCGAGGGGGGAAAGAAGGACGTGGGCATATTCTGGCCCACCGACGTATTCCACGAAGTTTCCGAGCTCTTCACTTAGAGCGGTTAAAACTTCATCTTCATCCTCGACTGAGTCTAAACAGTAGATGTTATCAATAACAATGCTCATCCATCAATAACGTAACATTCCGGGAGGAGGGGGAAAGGGGGAGCGGGAGGTCTTCACGCACCATCAAGGAACGGCACCAGCTCGTCTCGCGTTCTCTCCGGTCCGAGGGCGAGAGCGATTGTTGAGAGTCGATGAATCGCGTTTAGACGAAGGATCACATCATCATGCTATGTCCATACACCGGGGGTCATCAGTAAGCCGATGGGTCTGTTGGCCAGGGGGAGCGCCGCTACTTGGAGATTTGTTATGTATATACCTTCAGTTCATCAATCAAGACGGCAATGGGATAGAGCTCGTCATTTTCGCCTTGGCCTTCCATGGCGGAAACGAACTATTACGCGAGCGAGAACGGAGATGGTTTATTTGTGGGCGGAACTTGGTTGCTGCTTCAACGGAAGGGCTATGCGATGTGCTATCAAGCAGACGAGAAAACGGGGGGTAATGATGGTCGTTCGTGTAGGCAGATGACGGGCGGCGTGTATCGGCGAGAGCTACTATAGAGCCGGACTGGTTAATCTATCGTATTTGTACCCGGCCACAGGAGCTGGCAAGTGCACGGTGTTGTGAGAAGAGGCGGGAGAAAGGGGCGTTTGATGGGTGTTTTGTTGCTGTCTCGTGGGGTGAAAGGCAAGACGCCCGTAGACGAGACAGCGGCGGCGGGCAGCACGAAGACGTACTCTGGACTGTGGATGCTGGTCAGGGACACGGCCGTCTGGCGGAGGACGATGCGAGAGAATCGGGTTGCTGGGTGTTTCCTGCAGCGTTCGACGGCGACGGTCGTGGTCAACTGTTGACTGCAGGCGGTGGTGAATGTTTCGCTGGCCGCAGTCAGTTCGCAGCAAAAGCAGAACTTGGGCGGATGGAGCGACGCTGTGGCTGGTGCAGGGGAGAGTCAAAAAAGGGCTGTGGCTGTGGCGGTGCGGCTCTCCCAGCGAGCCCTGGGCTTTGCTGACTCAGCTGAACCCAAAAGGGAGTCAGTCGTCCACCGTCCTCGCTAACTAGTTGGTTGCTCTCGCTCTTCCTTCCGGCTGTCTGGGTCTACTTGTGGTCCTCTCTTTTATTTTCTCTTTGATAGCTGCTTGCCACGGAGATACAGAGGTCGCAGGCAGGTCGAAGAAGCCGGGACGCCCCTGCGTGAAGCTTTATTCCTCAATTGTCTGTCCAGCTGGTGGAATTGGCCGAGAAACAGCGCCCAAGATGCCTATGGTCACTGTTGATAAGGCGGCCCTGTGCAAGGCGCTAGGCAAAGAGTGAAGACCACCCACTGCCCTTCTCACAGCTGCCTTCTCTGCTGTATATTGACTAGAAGGGCCTAATGTTAACTGATATCCCGCTGCTAGATACACCACCGAGGAATTCGACCAGCTATGCTTCGACTTTGGTGAGTCACCCCCACTATTCACTAGATATCTATCGCTATATGCACACCTGGTGACTAACCTGCATCCGAACAGGTCTCGAGCTCGAAGAAGACGTGAGCCTCCTCCCTTAGTACTGCTCATACCATCTCGACCAGTTCGTAACAATTGCATAGACCACCGACTGCGACCGGCCATACGTGAACGGCGTCCAGGAACCCCCGCAACTCAAAATTGAAATCCCTGCCAATCGGTTCGTCCCACTGCCCCTTGCTAGCATGCCTGAAGGATGCGGGTTTTGACTTATTGTATAGTTATGACCTACTATGTTATGAGGGTTTATCCCTTATGTTGAATATTTTCCTCGGGAGAGCCGATTCACCGAACTATAGAGTAGTCACCCCTCCAAGCGGAGAGCTACAAACCCTTATCGTCAAGCCAGAGGTGAGACTGAACACCAGTGCGGAAGATGATCAAATTTCAGAAGCTAAAACAGGTCAATTATCCAGACCGAAAGTGTACGACCATATGTGGCCGGCGCTGTCTTCCGCAACATCCGTTTTGACCAAGCTCGATACAATTCGTTCATTGCCCTGCAGGATAAACTTCACCAGAATATCGCCAGACAGAGGACATTGGTCTCTATCGGAACACATGACCTTGACACCATTCAGGGCCCCTTCACATATGAGGCTTTGCCACCAAAGGATATTAAATTTATCCCTCTAAACCAGACCAAGTGCATGGATGGCGAGGAGTTGATGGAATTCTATGAAAAGGACAAAAACTTGGGCAAATACTTGCATATAATTCGTGATTCACCCGTATACCCAGTTATCTACGATTCGAAGCGAACCGTCTGCTCCCTACCACCAATCATTAACGGGGACCATTCAAAGATAACGCTGAATACTAGAAATGTTTTCATGGAAATCACTGCTACAGATAAGACCAAGCTGGAAGTCGTGAACAACATCATGGTCACCATGTTCTCCCAATGCACAGATGAGCCATTCACGTACGTTTTACATTCTAGACTACCCCCTTTACAACATCACATGAAGCTAACCTGCTCCTTACCAGAATTGAGCCTATCAAAATTGTTTCTGAGCATAATGGGGAATCACGACAAGTTCCAACACTTGAGCCAAGGACAACACAGGCTAGCATAGCTTATATCAACCAATGCACCGGTCTATCCCTTTCTGGCCCTGAAACCTGCAAATTGCTTAAGAAAATGGCTCTTTCGGCTAAGGTCTCTGAGACATCTGACGATACTCTTGACGTTACAATCCCTGTTACCCGAGCAGACATTCTCCATCAAGCTGACATCATGGAGGATGTTGCAATTGCACATGGTTTCAACGAACTTCCAAGATCTTTCCCTAGCAAGTCTGGCACAATTGCCCAACCTCTTCCAATCAACAAATTAGGGGACATAATTAGAGGAGAGGCTGCCATGGCAGGGTGGACGGAAGTGCTCACTTTTGCTCTATGCTCACACGACGAGAACTTTTCCTGGGTTAACCGCAAAGACGACGGGACGACAGCCGTCAAGCTCGCCAATCCCAAAACAGTCGAATTCCAGGTTGTTCGAACAAGCCTCTTGCCGGGCTTGTTGAAAACTATCCGTGAAAACAAGAATCACAGTCTCCCCATAAAGATTTTCGAGGTCAGTGATGTAGGGCTTAAAGACCTCTCGCTTGAGAGAAAGAGTCGCAACGAACGACACTTCGCTGCAGCCTGGTACGGGAAAACAAGTGGTTTCGAGGTTGTTCATGGTCTACTAGACAAGGTCATGATGATGATGAAGAGCGGTTTCATTGTTGGGGAAGAAGGGTTGGATAACGCTGCTGTTAAGGGGTCTCAGTACTGGATCGAGGAGCTCGATGGTAAGAACCCTCTGAATTTTTTTACCTATATATGTTGTCTATTGATTATGCTAACATTGACACCCGGTAGATCCCACTTATTTCCCTGGCCACGCTGCCTCCATACACTTACGTATGGACGGTAAGGAGAGCGTCATTGGGACTTTCGGTATATTACACCCAACAGTCCTTGAAAATTTCGACTTGAGGCATCCCGTGAGCGCCTTGGAAATTAACATTGAAACTCTCCTGTAAAACCCTCACTAAATAAATACCCATTGTCGAGAGTATGAACGAGTGCAATTACATCAATCAATACATAGCATGTGTTACGGAGCTTCCAAGCCTGTCCTTATCATATCAACTACTGCCATATATATGCACCGGACAAGTTTACAAGTAGGTATAGGCATCTTTTTCGAAGAAGCCTTATAGGGAAGCCCAATTTGAACATGTCGTTCATCACATCCATTTCAATTCTATTTCAATAATTAAAACAAGGAGTTGAAATTTTGGAAACGGATGATGAAAGAGTTCAAAAATAAATTAGAATAACTGAGAAATCCCGTTGCAACAAAATCATAAAACCGAGTCGCTCATATTTTCTTCATTTATTTTTGTTTTTACTCTTGAGGCTCTGCGGCATCGCCCTCTACAACCTGGCCCTCCTGCTCTTGCTCAGCTAGCCGCTGTTGTTCAGCAAGCTGTTGGGCAGCAGCAGCCTTAGCTCCGTAGTCCTGGCTCATTGGCTGGAGGACAGGCTGTTCTTCCTTTGGCTCAATGATAGTGACGGAATCTGGAAGAGTCTTCTGAGGACCAGACTTGCCCTCTGGATCGCTACCGCGCATGATCTTGACCTTGATACCGAGAACACCCTGGCGGAGGAGGACGTGACGAGTGGCGTGGTCAATGAAGTCGCGAGCTGGCTGACCGGAGTGGATCATGAAACCATCCTATACACAGATTTGGCCAATTAGTCGTCTACTCTCTCTACCTCAATTTCATCCCGGCGATAAGAACTCTCAAGAAACGTACAGTGAACTTCATGCTCTTGGCACGGGCAGCTCGTAGCTTTCCAGAAACAACGACCTCACAACCCTTAGCACCGCTCTCCATGATGAATCGGAGAACACCATAGCAAGCTCTTCGGACGGCCAAACCGTTGAGAAGCTTGTATCTCAAGCTCTCGCACTGAGCAACGGCAGAGAGACCACGGTTCTGGACCTTAGCGGCATAGAGGGAGACGGAGTTCTCTGGGAACTTGAATCGCTTCTGGATGAGGGAGGTGAGTTCACGGATGCGACGGCCCTGTTCACCCAAAACTTCCTGGGTGTGAGTGGCGCGGATAACTATTCAGTAAGACGTAGCTGTTAGCACTCGTAGTTCTCATTCCTCTTTGCCCATTCAGCGTCTCTCTTTTATTGTATTTGATATTTGAATTCCAGGCTCGCCTCGTCTGGGGCTCTGGCTCTGGCTTTCCGCTTGCCGTTCATTCGCAAAAGCCAAGGGGGTAGGAAAACGTTTCGGTAAGGAATAAACGTACTGATATCGGTAACGGTAGGAGTGACACGGACTTCGACACCGGAGTAGCCCTCCTCAGCCAATTCGCGCTGGAAGAACTCGTTCAACTCGGCGTAGAACACACCGTCGGCCACGAACTTGCGGCGCTTGGAGATGGCTCCCTGTACAGCTGCAGACATGATTGCGGTCTGTCGAAACGTGTGATTTCGTTCGGTAGGGCTGAGAGTTATCCGCCGGAGTTGAGGTCGTTGAACTGCAGCTGCTGTTGCGGTGGTTCGAGATGTTCAACTTTTAGACGCCTCGAAAGTCTTGCGGTTAGCTTTCCTAATTTGTCGATTCGGTGGTGGGGGGGATAATTTCTAAGTTAGGGCTTAGGGCTAATTAAGACCTGGCAGGTCGTTAACGCATTAATAAGCGGTCAATATCACGTGATTAAACCTTGAGATATCAAAAAAAAAGATGAGAGACGTTGAAGTAGACGATCATAGATCCATGGATCGTACGGAGTAGATTCAATTTCTTTGTCATTTCTAAGAACCCTCGATGCTGCGGACTCGACGTATAGCGAAAACAATATCAAAACGAGAGAAATGCCGAACAGCTGCGGGTATTGTGACATGGCTCGTTAGCAGTAGTAAATAGTAGTAAAAGACACTCAGCCCCGTTCCCTGAATGCAAGGAGCAACCCCAATCGTAAACGTCATAAACTCGAAATGTCCAGCAAATCCCTAAAACTCCAAAATGCAACACCTAGTCCCAGATAACCGAGCTTGATTCCCTCAACAGACGCCTAGATCCTCCTATGGAATGTGTCCGAAATGCCTGTAAGGAATTGCTGTCTACGTCATCTCTACCGCCTCCATTTCCCGTGCTTTGATTGTTCCAGGACCATCTCCCTTCCCGACAGGCAAGCTTAAACCAGAAATATTGGCCGCGAGAGAAGTGATACTCGTTGTAGGGCCGGTTGTAGAAGACTGAGGTGCAGCTAGCTGCTGAGATACAGCGACAGGGGTGACAGAGCGATCAGCGGTTTCGACAGCAACCATAGGGGTCATAGATCCACTCGGGCAATCTCTTTCAACCAGGACACCACTGTTTGCTATGCGAGGATTATTCATTTCAGAATCGTTGCGTCCAAATGATTCAGCCCACCATCTAACTTCGTATGTGCGAGGGAATAGTAAACGCTCACTACCGCGTTTGTTGTCGTCGATGAGAGGGTCATACTCCGGGTTGATGAACTGGCTTCGCCTGGCTAGGAAATAGTCCCAGACGCTGCGAGTCTTTTCTTTGGCTCCGCGATCAACACGCTCCTTTTCACTGTTGTAAAGGAATGTACCGTACTGGCCAGAGTAGACATGGTAGAGCAGCCGTCGCAGAAAACGTTCGTTGAACTCAAAGCGGGTAGGGTGTTGGTAGAGAAGTTGGTAGGTAGCATCCAAGAATTGATGAAATACAGGGCTAGTTTCCTTGGGCTTTGTCATATCACTGTCACTCACTGGTGATTTTGGATTGGAGGTCGCCCTCTTCGAGTTCGAGGAGTCAGGGTCGGCCCTGTCGCCGTCACCCTCTACCAATGACTCCCGGCTGACGTTGTCCCGGTTAAAGAAGCCTTTTGCGCTGAGCAGGGCATTTTCAAGGGCTTTGCCTGCTACTCCCCCCTCAAAAGCACCTCTTGCAGAGTCACTGCCCCGATCATTTTCGACTTGAAACCACTTATCACTGTTAAGATGTCCTGATCTATGACGGAACATGTGACCGAACGCAAGCCAGTCCTTTTCAACAAGAACCATGAATCCTTCCAAAGTTCTATAATACGGATCTAAACAGAGCTGGCTCAGGGCGCTGAGTTGGCCAGTTCTGTCCCATCCATCAGAGCAATGAATCAGCACATGTGAATGCTGTAGGCCAACCTGCCGGGCGATCAATGCTGCCCCGTCGAGAATGACAGCGATGTACTTCAGCCATCCACTCTTCAGTAACTGATCTCTATTTGGCGGCAACGGGCTGATATCAGAATCTCTGAGCGCTTCGATGACTTTATTAAGCGAGTCCCTCATAACATGGATGTTGTCAATGCCCAGGTAGGCCTTAGCAGCAAATTTGTAGTTGTCCATGTTTTCGGATCCCAAACCAACAGCTTGCATTGCAAGAGCATTCACGGTAGGGCGAGCATCAACAATCAGGTTATTTTGCTGAGCTCCATATATTTGTGTTTTGTAGTCCTTGATATCATTCCTGGCGGAGGCTACAACTTCGTCCTCCAGTTCTTCTGCATTCGAGAATTCAAAGTCGGAGTTAATTCCAAACTGTTCTTCTGCACTTGAGTTGGAGGATTCTGTTTCTAAGGAAGGGGGTGAAGCGTTTGCTAGAGGTCGATCCTGCCGGGATGTTGAGAAGATAGCAGCAAGGAGCTTCTCATCTTGGATGCTGCGGTTGTTTCGGACGCCAACAAGCGGCTGAGACGAGCGAGTTATGGAACAGTTGTTGACAGGGTGAAGATAGGTCAGAACAGGAATCCGCGCTCTTGAGCGATATCTCCCGGCATAATTAATCGTATTATCGGATATATTGCTCGGAACCGGGAGGAGGGCAGGATACGTGGGCGAGAACTTGCCAGGAAATGTTAGCTAACTTTAATATGAACAGGCAGTAAGAGAAATACAGAACAGACCTTATAATCCGTGTTGATACAGGATATTCGCCAGTTAGAGTCTTGCTCTGCCCTGCCTACACCAAGACGAGCCCATTCCTTGCGAGGGTTATATAGTTCCCATCCATTCAAAGCAAGCTCGGCTGCAGGAGGCTGAAAGGTGAATGCATAAAGCTTTTCTATGCTTCCAAGCTTGCATGTCCATGTTCTTATAGTCTCATAGACATCTCTACTCCTCGCCTCATTTGGAAAAGTAAAACACATAAAGCTGAAGTCGCGGCACCGGAGGCGGATTGATGCTGGCTGGCGTGATGCAGGAGATGCAGGTCTGTAAGTACAGAAGCAGATAATAGGATATGTGATCCATATCTCTTTATGGCCCACAGTCGGCTTATCCTTGGAATGCTCTCTAGGTGATTCTTTCTGGGGTGGAATATACGAGAAGACAATATGGTGGGGAGTAAGGTGAAGACTTCCTATTGCCTTCTCTCCCCGGCGGAATAGAGTGACCTCATCTACCTGTGATAAGCCCTATAATTAGTTATGTATATCAAAGATGTGAGAGAGGGATAAGCAGTAAAAACCTTAGCTATCCTTGTTTTATCCATCTTCTCGTAACTAGATAATCTCTCTATGGCCCAATATCATGCTGGTATGGCACAGAATGACGTGGTCGGTAATAAAGGAAGGAATATAATCCCAGAGAAGGACATCAAAGGTTGAGAGAACTGGAAGAAAAGAAGACAGTAATACAAGGCTTAGATAGCAAATAAAGGCCAGATCCTTAGGTAAATATATATGAATATCCCTTGTTTTTTTTTTTTCTTTCAGGACTTAAAAGCTCATTTTGATAATAGGACATCGTTATCAAGTTAGGATGAACTATCAAGTGACAGCTAGTGGCTAACCTAGTTATTAACTAGTTACGCTTACGTTATCAGTCACTGGTTACTATAAAGTTTTTCAGCGATTACTTCTCTTAAATCAATGTATTAGAAGAACAGTAGGTATTCTTGTTGAATTATATTCATCTTTTTATATTGCTCTATATAATAATAAACCCTATAGTTATACTAAACGAGACATGATATATGCAGAGAAATACAGGTAGCTGAAGAATAAGCAGCTGGCAGAGGGTACTAATACATAAAAGAATACACAGGTCTAGTTGTCATGGCGATCAAGGTTTTTCTCTAGCAGGCTTTCTTCAAATAGTTTTTGGTCAGGCATGTCTCGGTCGGACTGTTGCTGAAGTGCTGCAAAACTGAATGCTAAGTGGCAAGAACGAAGATAAAATGGTAACAGTGCGGATTGAAGGGAGCCAATGGACGAGTCAGTTTGTGGCAAGGAGCTTAGTTTCTGGTTAGGTAAAGCATTCTGGGGTCGCCGCTCATTATCGTAAAGCCCAAGGGTTAGGCTTATCTCTGTGGTCTTCGTAGGAAGATAAGGTCCCATGTCCTTGGTAGCAAAGGTAAGATCGAACTCCTTGTATATATATTTCGAGACACTAGCTTCCGCAAGTGATTGCACCGGAGGATAGACATAATACTCTCCAGTGACATACTCAAGCTCTTGTGTGCTTTGTGCTGGTGGCCTTTGAGATGGTTCTTTTGCTGGATCCAGAAGCTCAGCAAAGGTTTTGGGAATCGCAAAGTCACAGAATAAAGGCATTGAAGGCTGGTTTCGAGTGAGAGGGGGGTTGAGTTTGAAGGCTTCAGCACATCGGTGGAGGCTTGAATGAAACACATTATCCGTCTCTGCATATGCACATTCAATGCAATCCCGGTCGAAGAGGTTGTAATAAACCGTCTTGTTGAACCGGATATCGAGGGGGCTCTCAGGCAGAAGCATATCCACATCCCGACTGCTGACAATGGCATTTATGTTCCGGATTGTCGGAGTTGTTGATATTTCCTCGCTGTCTTCTGGAAAGGCAGCCTCTAGCTCAAGCTCAAGTTCTGGTAAGAACGACTGCTCCTTAAGGGAGGGCAGAAGCCGGATACGAAAGATAGTTTTCTTATCATTGCTTGCAGCAGCTTCCAAAGAGTCCAGAAATGCAAGAGTATTCGGTACTTCGTTGATAAAAACCCTTGGTGTTTGTAAACCCTCGATATTAGGAAAAGATGCCTGTCCAGAATCATGTGTAGATCGACCTTCGAACAAGCACTGCCCGACAGACGCTGTAATTACTTCGCGTGTGCGATGTTGGTCAAGTAACCTTTGACTACTCAAATCATCTTCATCGAATAGAAGCTCTAGAAGTTTATGGAAGGGTTTCACGGAGCCCTTTCCATATATAGAGGCTGGAGGCCTTCCAGGAACCCTCCCATCACTATCTCCTGATTTTATCCATCTAAACCATTCCTTTTGTCTGTTCGGAAGATCCATGGAATCGGAATAGAACACAGGGTATAAGTGGGCATTCTCAGAGTTGGTAAGATTTGTAAATAACCCGCCCTTTTGATGGAGAGAAGATGCTGCGAGATACAGTGTACGTCGTGCTTGGTGCGCATTGGACTCGTTATCATGGAAGTAGTGGATACCCACAGCACTGTGTTCCCGGCCTATATCCAATGATACGTTGTATTCGCTTTGTAACCATGGGAGAAAAGTAGTTTCCCAATAGTTCAAGTCTGCTGTAGCTTTTAGTTGCGCAACGGAGAGACCAGTATCTATCGACCGGACATCGGAAGCCCATTCATTAAGCTGCTGACTCGTCCCCATGCACGCTTCCTTGCTTCCCGTTATTCGTATTAATCCGAGATGTCGCGACACGTCGATGTTGACTTTGTGGGATTCGGCGAACATGTTCAGGAGCGGCATGGTTGGGAGCAGTAGTACTGACATTGGCCGTGTGTCCAAATAAATGTCAAGCTGCCCCTCCTCCCCATCAATTGATAATTCCCAAGACTCTCTTAGTATTCTTTCGACCAACTTTTTCTTGGGTCCCATCTCCCTAAAAGCTGGGATTCGGCTCGTAATTCGACCTTGGGGAGCTGGAGGCTGGTCTAAGTAGGGAGAGTTTCCAGCCCTCCATTCACTTGACTTTTCAGATTCTGTATTTCGCTCAGAATTTTGATAATACTTTCTTAATTGCTCAAAAGTGAACCCATCACTGAGCGTGTTGTGAAGATGCTTCCAATCTTTCGGCAGGAGGGTGTCACCGGGGCTATATAGAGCGCGAAGGTAGTCGAGGTTCTTCTCTACCTCTTCAAGCTCGAATTCAACCCTTTCATTATGCAAGTCCTTTAGTAACTCCGTCGGACTCTTCCATGGACTCTTTCCGTTAGCCACCTGCACGACATCTCGCGGGCGACGGGGCTTATTATCCACTATGACCACATGGGCCGGTTCGCCTAGCACCTTAACATTCTCTAGTTGTTGAATACGATGAGGGGAGCCGTCGAATTTAGCTGGATTCTCCGTTGACGCCGGTGTTGAGTCATCGTGTGATGGTTCATGGGTGTTATCAGCAGAATGAGGTCTCGGTATGGGGTAACTCGGGGGTGGTTTCCGAAGATTCGAAAAGTTTCGGCACCTTGCGAAGCCTACGGCATGTACGCCTCTTTTCCAAAACATATGTACAGCGTGCAAGTCAATCCAGCAGGAGGCTACATGTTAGTTGCAATATACTGACCTTGGGAGGAAAGAGACCTAAGCTTCAAGTGAAAATAAAAATAAAGTTTCTTGGGTTCTCAGGAATTTTATTCTTCCGTAAATGAGCCGGGCCCCGGGCCCCGCACGGGCAGCCTTAGCTTGTTGGTACGATTAAGGTTTCGGGAATAGAAAGTCTATCTCTATCGCATCATAATTTCATTATTAACGGGACAGCAATCATGTCTAGCTACAGTAAGACCAATGTGACAATGAGACATTTGACTGCAACTAGAGTATAGGAGAAAATCCATGTTTTTTTATATCGTACATTTACGTATATGGTAGTTATACTGATTCACTTCTTATGTATAAAGAAAAATGCCTCCCCGCTAAAACTGGTTCCTGTAGGAATGGGAAACGCCGTACAACGAAATGGCTATGTTCGCGAACATTTAAGCGATATGATACGACCAGCGGACCGTCGCCCCTCAGTTCTACAGTTGTGGATCCTCTTTAGCCCATGAAACCTCCCAGCTGCGTAGATCTTCCCTATAATCAAACTCTGTAAGAGTCTTTCTCTTCCGCCTTTTCCCGCCAGATCTCTCAAACGCGCCTGTTTCGTTCCTTTCCTTGCCTACCGCTCCAAAGGAAAAATCAGAGTGCCGGCTATCACTTCGTGAATGGGCAGTAAAGGGATCTTTGATCCTCGGAATATGGTCAGGGGAATTCTTGCTATCGCGAATGGTTCGATGTGATCCTGCATCACTCAGCGAGTTATTATCATGCACCTCATCCTCATCATCAGCCTTATATCGTGAGTGGTTTTGTGGAAACCCGTCCCCGCCAGCAAATATGTTTTCTATAAGTTGATCCGGGGGCAGTTCATCAGGGAGTGTCGCCCAGGCCGCGGCTAAAGTAGAGCGATACATGTCTTGAAGATCACTGTATTCGCGACCTCTGTTATTGACTGAGGGGATGTGACCATCATTGTTTATTTCGCCGTGCTCAGTGGACATAACCCCAGCAATTCCGGAGAATACGGTTGCAGGTTTAAGTGGCGGCCTGTATCTCTTGCTTTAGTTCCATTAATACATGCTGTAAAAAGAGTTAACGTACGCAGTAAAGTTGCTGTCGCCTTCAATCTGGGATATTGCGATGCCAACTTTGACGGTGGCATTGATTTTGCTGTTCTGCATTAGATATCGTCTCGTGATTCCTTCATCGCTCTCCGTTTTATCCACGTATTCTGAAAGATTCAGTTTGATATTTCCCAGTGGTACTCTGTCAGCCCGATTTTCTGCAGTAAACTCTTGGAAGATATCAAGCTGAAGTTCACAGTCCTGCAACATCTGGTTCCGATCAACCGTTAGTCTAACAACTATCAGCTTCTCATAATCCCAGGATGCCCTGTGATCATGAAGCAAGGCTTTTTCCGTATGACCATTGTGGTCGGCAGACGCCGATGATGGTAGTTGCCATTTGACGTATGCAGTACCAACTACCAAAGGGACATTGATCATATCAATGATCTGTTGTGCGTATTAGTGGATGCCACCACGCTTATGGAAACTAGCTCTACATACACGTAGGCTCAGCGTAAATCTAGGCTAAGAGATTATCAGAGTAAGCAGTAAGTCAGAGCAGAGAAGTGTAGGGTATTTGGTTATTTCATACCCTCCGGCTCTTAGGAACTATAAGGTGAGACTCAACGGTCAGCGATTCGACTGTATAAATAGCATAGTTTGAACAGCCATTTTCGGATTTTGGTTGAAATTTCAACTATGGGATGTTTAAAACAGAGAGCTCACCGAAAGCCTGCATCCTGATAACCAGTATTCTGACGCGTTTAGTCCACCAGCATATCACAGCTTTTAGAATATAAGTGTAAACAGAAATCTAACATTTCTTGAAGAAGAAAGGAAGAAAGAAAGAAAAACAGACATGTATTAAGTACTCTTTGCCTCTTTCTTGATCAACCTTGACATCATGTTTCTCTTTCGGTGGTTGAAGCACTGACCATATGGACCAAACTTTCGCTGGATGACTAAACCAGCTGCTTACACAATTTACAGGCATCATGTGACTTGTACCTGGCGGGCCGGGGAACTTGTTGGCATCTGACATTCTTGACAAACATGTGGTACTTTTAGGCTCTAAAGTCGTCAAACGATATTCAACGGAGCCCGTCTGGCTTTCCACCCACCACCCTCCACCCTCTCCTCTTAATGATACCATGCTCTCCCGCCCAATATAATAGCAATGTCCACTATTTTAAAGGGGGGCGTTTGGTAGCGCAATTTGGACGGAGACTCTTAATTATTCATTCTCAATTAATTCCGCCGTTTTCTTTGACCGCAGAATACTCCCAACCTGATTGGATTTATTGGCCCTACCGACTCATGAAATGAAGCCGGCTAACTTCTATTGGATAATTATGCTTCTAGTAGACCTCACCTACGGCTCCGTACATACGCTGTGAGGTTTGTGTCCAACCACGACCAAGTGTTTTCCATCAGGACATATGATGGGAACTCTTGACCTTTTGATATAAACTGCATATCAAAATCCAAGAGCACTTTTACCAGGAGAATCTCTGAAACTTTCACACCAATAAACCGCCCAGGACAGAGTCCAGTGCCATAGCTAAACGCCAGGAATTTCTCAGAAGCTGTTGATGCACGCACGGTACATGTATTAGAATCCGCATCATAAAACCGGTAACCGTCAAACCTTGTTGGGTCTGGGTAGTTCTTAGGGTCCCCATGAACGCATTTCGTCGGTATTCCAATGCAAGTTCCCTTTGGAAGATTCATGTCTAGAGACTCGATTCTAAGTGGCTTATTTAACCGACGCGATACGCTTACTAGTGAAGAGGTTAGTGAAGGCCTGTGTCGCATAAGCTATGGATTTGATTACCTGAAATCGGCGCATACAGACGTAAGCTCTCACGCATGAAGCTTTCCAACTTTGGTGTATGCGCCAAAAAATTGGAGTTCCAGCCTCCATGAGATTCAAGGGAGCCTGAGACCTCCTCTCTCAATGCGTCGACGTACTCAGGGTTTGCCATACAACGAACAAACATGGCACTCAAAAGTGGAGCGATAGGCCCCCAGACCTCATATATATGGAACAATGTCTTCATGAAGAGACCTTCAATGTCGTTCTCCTCTGTCTTTGTATTTCCACTCATCGAAAGAAGGCCCTCCTTGAGAGCTTGCTTTAAAAAGATGGTCAGCATACTCATATCTTCACCAGTTGATTCCCCAAGTCGGAGAAGCTGCACACGGCGCTTGATTTCGGGTACGACTTTCTTTCTGACAACTGAGATATTGGAGCGAAATTTACGGTGAAGAGGGGACAATCTCCAGACTAATGGAAATAAGAATCTTGGCCAGCGAGCAAATTCGTTGATAACCTCCTCAATTCCCAAGGCATGGGCAGTTATGTGTTGCATGAGAATGGGGTCTCGCGAGAATTTTGGCCCAAGAACCAACGAAGTTGCATAATGCATAAGCACATTACTGACTACCTCATTTGGATTGAATTTGGTCCATTCTATACAGGTGTTAGATGGTGGACCGAAAAGAAGGGTTTAGGAGAAGATACCTTTGCTACTTGGGTTACCGAAAAATGAAGGCAGGAATTCCTCGGCATCCGTTAGGACGAGGGAGTGGACATGATCTATGAATTGAAGTCGGCTACTAAGCACATATTCCTAGATCGAGTCGGAAATCAAATGCAAGCAAAGTACTTACCAGTATGTTTCTTTTGGTTGTATGCGAGGATGGCGTTGATATGCGTTTGACAATCAGCATTGGTATGGTATCTTATAGCCGATGCCTACTGCAATGTTAGAACTAACCAGAAAGAGGTATGGCAAGGACATGGAAGCGACGTGTTACATTCTCAACATAGTTCATGAAACTGAGGTGATCAGCTGGCAAATTGCACCATTCTTTCATAGACTCTAACGGGAGCATAAGCATCCAATTGTCAAGATCTGCCTTTATCGCAAACGGCTTTCCTTGTTTGGTATACTGGTATCATTTTGGTATACGTGATTAGTTAAATTATCCAACGACTAACTAACCAACCAGGGCAACTAGTTAGTTGACTCACTCGGTAGACTAACTTACCTTAAAATACGCATGTTGAATGGCATCCTCTAGCTCACGCCCGCTTAGTTGGCGGCGGAACCTAGCCCACAGGAGGCTTTGGCTTGTTACACGATGGAGGTTTCTGACAGGCCAAGTTTGTAGAAGATAATCTGCATGGTCGATGAGGAGAACGACCAAAACTATAATAAAACAACAGAGAAGAAACAGTTGAAGAAATCCAAAAAGGTTGAAATTATGGATGTCTGGCTTCCATAGATCGCTCACAGGCACCCAGGATGATGACTGTGAGGACATAGTGGTTAAGGAGCACCTGCAAAAGAACTAGAAATTCGAATACTTTCGGAGTACCTCAGGTTGGGGGGATTATAATCGTGTCAGTCGTTGATCATTGAGAAATACCATCGAGTCTTTATAACTATCGTCCCTCTTCTTTCCACAGTGTACTCCAAAAAAATTTGGCCAGCCACCCGTCCGCCTTGGAATAGTTATTGGTCATGCTGCTGCGTAACACTCCTTCATGCCCCTTGCGAGGACATTCACAAACGCATCTGAAAACTCCGGAGTTATTTATACGAGCCCAAAAATTAGTGAATAGTTAATCAGGCTGGAAGATCTGCCCTCTCCAACCTCCCCCATCTGACTGTCCATAGGAGAAGATCATGATTAGTGGCCGCTTGAGAACTAAGTTAACTAGTTACATAACCTTTTGAATCTGACTGGAAGAATTATTCAGTTGAACCCATCTTTTAGGGCTTCATATGCAAGGCTTGTGCCACATAACCAGCTATACCCCATAACGAATACTGGCGATAGTTTTCATACAGCTCTCATTCTCCTTGAGAAGCAAAGATAGTCGACGAGTTTAACACTCAACAATTGATAGTGAGGGCAAGATACAGTTATGCAACACCTGAGCGCAACAGGAAGACGGCTGGCACAGCTAACTAATACTCCGTACTAGCTATTTAGCCATAACTAACTACAAGTTGCGTAAAATCTGACAAGAGGAAAAGGCTACTCCATAGGTCCATCTCTCTGATGGCCATATCTAAATCAATCTTGAGTCCTGCACCCCCACCCACAAGACTCAAGTTGGGGATCAGATACCAGGCTAGTCAGAGAAGCTGGCCTAGATGTTAGACGACATTAAGCTCCTCCGTAGAGATAGATAGTCAGTGGAAGTGGAGGTGAAGAGGAGAATATCCCATCTGGCACTGGTAGAAATGTATGCAACTAAGATGCAAGAGCCTGAACCAACCTAATAACTACAAGCTAAGATCTACCGATCTACCGAGTGCTCTGCATTGCTTGTTTCCATCAGATAGAAACAGCTGATGTGGCTGAAGGTAAGGTAGAAGTTGGCTTTTTGGAACACTCATGAAGGAAATAATATTTAGAGAAGCGTAGAGAAGGGGTTCAGCGGGCAATACTCAGTACATTTCACACTATAACCATTTTTGCTATGCCAACCATCTTTGTTCAATTTTTGACATAGCCACTCACTCTGATGATATTCGCTATAATGGGCCCGCTGGAATGGTTAGCATTTGCGATTCTGACCGTACGGCGACCCCCTGTTTGTTGAAATGTCGTTTAGTCAACGTACCACAAGAAGATAGCTAATATTAGGGGAAACGCTGCAGTGGTTAGGTTATCATGTATCACTGGCTTTTTATAACATCTTCCTTCACCCTTTACGCAACTACCCAGGTCCAATTCTCGATGCGGCCAGCCAGCTCATATACTCATATCATATGGTCAAAGGCGACAGCTCTAAATACATAGCATCGCTTCACGAACGTTACGGCGATGTCGTTCGGGTTGGACCTAGAGGGTTGTCGTATATTAGCCCTTCAGCAAACCGAACCATATTTGCGGAAAATCAAACGAGGACACGGTCTATGAAAAGAATCCAGTCATATGGCTTCTAGGATCCACCGAGCCGGTAACTAACCTTTTTTTTGCACGCTTGCACGAAAATGTCCGGTACCGCAAGCTTATAACGCCTGCCTTCTCTGAAAATGCAATTCGCGAGCAAGAGCCAGTTCTCCAGAATTTCGTTGATGGACTGATCAAAGGCCTTAGTAACCGCTCAGGGAAAGCTCACTTCCCAGATTCTGAGGGCATTGTGAATATAGCTGCGTGGTATAATTTTGCAGTTTTCGATATTCTGACACGGCTCTGTTTTGGTGAGGAGCAAGGTTGCCTTATACGTGGGGATTATGATCCCTGGCTTCAAGCACTGTATGAAGGGCTTCTAATGTCACACTTTGTGCAAGCCGCACATCGGCTAAGACCGTACCATATCATACTGGAACGATGCATCCCTTCAAGTCTCACTAAAGCTCATAACCCGCAGTCAGCAGAATATTACCCCCGAAAACTGAAAGAAAGTCGGGACAAGCAGGGAAATGTTAAGCCGGTTACCACTCATCCAGAATTCGCATCATTCTTCCAAGAAGGATTATCAAATGAGGAACTGGAGGATAACGTTAATGTTCTTGTTGCTGCAGGAGCTGACAGCACCATCACCACACTCTCATCTCTAACTTATTATCTCACTCATAACTCAGAGTGTTATGAGAGGTTAAAGAGCGAAATTAAGAACGCCTTTCAAGCTGAAGATGATATAACGCTTGCAGCTACGAGGCGCTTACACTACCTTGGAGCTGTCATCAAAGAAACCATGCGTATACACCCACCGGTTCCCGTGGGACTTCACCGTGTAACTCCGAAAAAGGGAGCAGTCATCGATGGGCGGCCAGTCCCTGGTGGGGTACGTGCAGTTAATTTCCTTTGTTACTCCGTACCTGACATTGAGACTTTATAGACGTGGGTATCGGTAGCCAACCTGGCCGCCAGCCGTTCACCCAAGTATTGGCGTGACCCCGAAAAATTCATCCCAGAACGATGGCTCGAGGAAGATCCGATATTTTCCAGCGATAACCGCCAGGCCTATACTCCGTTCTCCATCGGACTTCGCAGCTGTATCGGAATGACGTATGAAACCTAGCTCTTCCTTCCAAGTATAAATACTAATCATGTTCATCAAAAAGGTTCTCAAATGCTATTCTGCGTCTTGTTACAGCCTGGTTGCTCTGGAACTTCAATCTTGAGGCACAACCTGACAACATTGACCCCCACAACCTTCCAGAGTATGCAGTCTGGGAGGCAAAGCCACTGCAGGTGAAGGTTTCCCTAGCTAGCGTCCCCCAAAAGTAGTCAACTGTGTTGTGGTCTACACCAATCAACACAGTAGTGCGATTCTTTTTGATCATGGGAATGTAGAGGGCATAGCTGGCTAATTTTAAAACTGGTCACTTGCCAAAGACGTTGTTTTTCTCTAGGTTAAAGAATAGAAGCTATTTGTTTGTTTGCGGGAACTGCAGTTAACGTACTTTGCATATACTTAAATCCCATAACATTGTTGTACAGAATGCTGAGAATAGATGGATATCACTTGATATTTCCACACTCTATTCACAAGGCAGAGGTACAGTGTGACCATCCTTGATTAGAAGTGTTCTTTAACCTCCCAAACTATGGAAACAGGTTAGTAATCCTAAATTGGGAAAGAGAAGCCATGTGTTTATCGGTACGTCGGTTGGTAAACAGTAGTAGATAGTCAGAGCTAGTATAGCAACAAGCCCTATAAAATGGCTCCCTTGTAGTACAGAAGGACAATACTCCCATGGATCAGGATAACAAAGTAATTATTAATAAATCCTTTCATAAGGCGTTCAGATGCAAAAACCAGAAGTTGAAGTCCAAAAATAATGCAACCAATAATCTCGCGTCTCAAACTAATCACGTGATATGACCAGGGGACCTTCAGGTTACGGTTACCAGTAATAAGCTTCTGATTAGTAAGCCTACTAATATTTTTGACTTGTCCGCTTTGAGCGTCGACTTGGATCTCACAATCTACGCCATCTCCGCTTTGAACGCAGAAAAGCAACATAATGGAGACAGATAACCTCCCTCTCTCCCCTCCACCAGAGCCCAAATCATCGAACTCAGACACGAATCAAACCGTCAGCCTGGACTCGCCTCTTCGAACTACCCCCATCCATACGCTACTACCTGATGTCCGGGTTCCTTCTGATCCCTTACCAAGCCACCGATACCACCCTGTTACATGTGCACCACTGGATGTAGTTGAATTCCAGGCTGAGTTACAACAGCTAAGAAAGCAATATACGACCTCCATTGCGGCGCGTAAAGCGCAGGAAGAGGCGGCTAAGGAGGTGAAGAAACGGATCGAAGAATCGAAGGAGAAAACAGAGCAAATCCAAAAGACCATGCAGAGAAAAACTGAGGAGCGTGAAATGGAAAGGAAAGTATTTTTGAAGATAAAGAAGGAAAAGGAGGAGAAGATGCAGGGTGCATGATTCATTGGAGATGATGGTGTGCTTTGATCGACCACGAGTCATAGCTTTCTCCAGCGAAAGCCCATCCGATACTCTGTACCTTCTATCATAAAGAAGTTCAGCCGAGGAATGTGGTATCGTCTAAGAGCTCCTCGAATAGGCTCACATTACCTTTAAACCTCCGAATGCTGAGGCGAGTGTCGACCTGCCTTATATTGGAGGGGCCCTTGCCGCGACCATAACTATTATCTTTGGCAGCGCAACCCAAGATTGACCTGGTTTATGCGGCAATAGGTCCCCCATCAGACTCAACTGCCATGCTACTTT